TGATGTTACATAGTATTTAAAGGTTAAAGGCCATTTGTCGTATAAATAGGAAGTTGGAGTTTGGTAGGGTGAGTTTTTTCTTAAGTTGGCTTATAACTCAGTTCCACATAGTTCATACAGGCTATGTACTTTCCATTTCACTTGTTGCTTTCCTTTCTTAGCTATATCAAATGACTAAATCAAATCTAATTCCCTGTTTTCCAAAACTTTTCTCCATGCAGATTGTTTTTAGTATCACCTCTGCAAGTTCAGAATAGTGATCTGACATCCAAAAACCCAACAAATTCTCATATTTCACAAGAAATCTGTCTCGTACCTTATGTGGCATATGGCCCAATTGTACACACCATTAGTGAATCTTCAGTCTACCATCCTCCTATTATACTTCTATTACAGTTTTGAGACCTTTCAAGATGATAAAGGAAAATAACTTCCCAATATCTTGGAGTAATTTAAACTTTCACAAATGCTATAAATCATCAGTATTAAAGAACAAATTCATTATCCAAATCAGGATTCACAATTAGGCAAGAAAATAATTTGACTTTCTAGAGTTTTCCTGTACATCATTAGTCTTTCTGAATGGATAAAAGATCTTCTGCTGGGTGTAGTTCAGTATTTTCACTTTGCTAGCTATACTTCTAGGTGCAAGATCATTCCTATGAAGCCCGTATCCTAGCCAGCCCATTTGTTAAACTACAGAGCAACATTACTGTATAGTGAATTTTTAAAGAACCAAAAGAAACCAAATAATTCATTTTTATAAGTTTGAAATTGATGGTTTCAAATCAAGAGTTTATTTAACTTTTTCTGATATAAACACCAGATATATGTAATATAAAACCAAAACTGGAAATCCCATGGTTCACATCACAAAGTTCATCTCACAGGTGAGCAAAAACAGATATGATCCAGTGGAAGCAAAACAAATTTGCTGGGGGAGGACACACAAAAAATAGGAAAAAGGGACTTTGGGGAGACAGTGTTCAAAAATCAACCAAATAACAAACCCCAAACAAACAAAATCAAACTTAAAAAGGATGACGATGACAAGGAAAGTGTCAGAAGCAGAGAGGAAGAGACAACCCCCAGCAGCTGAATAACACCTACTGTGTAAAGCAGGAGAGAACTTGAGGAAATGAACAGAAGCATTAGACAAAACAACTCATCCAGACAGGAACAAATCTCTCAACTAAAATAAATTAATTACAATAATAACCAACAAAGAAAACAGAGAGACAAAATTCCTAGTCAGTTACAAAGTTTAAACAACAAAAATCCCAAAATATTTTTCCTTTGAAGCAAACTTGAGGCAGGTCAAATGTAGCATATTTCCAACAGAGTGATAAAAAAAGATTCTAGAACTAACAAGGATCAAAATCAAATCATAACCTCGATCCTAAGGGATTCTCTAATCAAACCCCTTTCTTCGAGAGTTCATCCACATGTTAAACAAGCAGAATAGAAAAAAATGCAGATGCCTTGCTAACAGAAGAGAGAAGACAGATGGTATCATTACAGGACTGCTGAATCTCCCCAAGTGCAAAATATGACAGCTGAAGAATTACAGGTCCCATGCTTAAGAAACCCACAGGAATAGTCCTAACATGGAATTAACATTAAAATTTCTTATCATATATACTATAGACACTAGAAGCTTAAATCATAGCAAAAAACCCCACCATGGACTAACAGGAATACAGAAAGGCACTACTTAGGTTCTTAAGCTCAAAGTTCTTGAACAACATAATAGGCTCAAGGCTGGAAGTTATTCTGGGGGAGGTATGACCATGAGTTTGTCCTGTTCCTGAACTTCTCTACAAGCTTCCACTGTTATCTGCATCAGAGACAAGGAGATGAGGTATGAAATTAGATAAAAATTCAGTCTGATCCAGTAAAACTATTGTAATAAACTGTACTATGTTTTGTCAGAAAATAAATATGTATAAATAATTGTCCAGCAGAGTACAGTTCAAGAAAATTAAGTAAATCGATTATTAAAAAAAAGCAAACAACAACAAAGTAAAAGAAAGTGTTAAATCTATCCAAAAACGCACAAGCTGAATTTATACTGTATACTAGAGTGGTATGCAAAAACACTGCTCTTTTCGAACAGGAAGCAATAAAGCTTCAACACAGCACAGCAGAGCACAGAAATACTGTTTTGGAGCTAATTAGTACTAGGTGCAGCACTCTGTTATTAAAACTAACACGGCCATCATGCTAACTTTGAAGTCACCACACAAGACTTCCTTACAGTGCAACCCGTGCTATTCACCCCCAGGTAATCTCTACTCTCTTCCCTACTTAAAAGTGAAGGAAATGGCAATGAAGTTGACCTGATTGTAACAAAGTACTGCAAACAGTTGTGCTCAGCAGTGATCTTTAGCACTGACCTTGCTAGTACAGGTAGGGATCCAATTCCCAGGTTAGTAAAGAACCACTTCCATCTTGTTATAGAAACCAGCGCTTATTTCCCTCACTGCTAGCTAAACTCATTGACCAACGGTAGATCAAAGTGCAAAAATCAGGAACTAGAACTGTACAGCATAGAACTCCTGTGAGAAAAATGAAAAAATATTTCCACACCAAAGAATAACAACTCAAAACTAAGGGGGGGGGAAATCTACCAAGAGCAATGTTGACCTTGAGACCTCAAAGGACCAAAACCAAACCCACAAAAATACCAACTCTGTGCAAACAAGAAGTTGTGCATGGACAGCATGCAGATTTCCCCTCCTCTTCATAAAAGCAATTTTGCAAGTTGGACACAAATCACAGCAGGCTGCATTAACAGCAAAAATAAACTGGGTTACACAGGATTTCAATATTCTGCTGGATGACCAAGCAAGAGAGAGAGAGAATTTAAGCTCTGTCTATAGAGAGATAATGTGAAGGCTATAACATAAGTGAAAAATGGCCATGTTGCTAAGATAAGGCCCCAGCCACCAATTTCATTGTCAAGCCTGGCCATCTGTCAGCAAAAACCTAATTTACTGCACATAATGCTGCTATAGTTGATCACTACTATACTGCTATAAAAGGCTCCTGTTTTCGTTTTTTTTTTTAAGCACATCAAAAGCTACTTTCCAGCAACATAAAAGGGTTAATAAAACACTTCCGCAGAAGCCACGTTTTCAAGAACCAGGCTTCAGAATGTTAAATTTTACCCAGTTTCAATGCCACTGATAGATTAAATTTCTTTATTTAAAAAAAAAAAAAATTAAAAACAGGGAAACAAAAACCAAAGAAAAACGTAAAATTATAGTAAATTACTTAGTTTTCACCATATAAGTAAGGCTGCTTGCACCAAATCACAGAATATGCTGAGTTGGAAGGGAACCACAAGGATCACTGAGTCCAGCCCTTAGCCCTGCACAGGACCATCCCAAGAGGCACACCATGTACTTGAGAATATCATCCAAACACTTCTTGAACTCTGTCAGGCTTGGTGCTGTGACCACTTCCCTGGAGAGCCTGTTTCAGTACCCAACCACCCTGTGACTGAAGAACCCTTTTCTAATATACAACCTAAACCTCCCCTGACACAACTTCAGGTCATTCCCTCTGGTCACCACAGAAAAGAGACCAGTGCCTGCCCCTTCTCTTCCCCTCATGACTAAGTTGTAGACTGCAATGAGGTCTTCCTTCAGTCTCGTCTTCTCCAGGCTGAACAGACCAAGTGACCTCAGCTGCTCCTCATACGGCTTCCCTGTCGGCAGAGAGGCTCGAGACAAACTGCGCCGACCAATGTGATCAGCAAAATGTCCGTTTATTACAAAAAGGATACCCATTATATACTGTTACTACACCGCAAGGCGTGATCTTTCTTCTACAGTATTGGCTACATGAAAGAAACATACCCTCTTGTCCAGTTCTAATTGGATTAATACAGGTGTCCATATGAGCTGAGGACACATGTTTACCACTTGAGACTCCACCTTAACCTTGGCACAGATCCTCCTTTGTCTTAGCTTTCAGAGCCTGAAGCCATGTTAATTGCACAGCATTTTTACTGTTTGTGCTCAGCTATGCCAAGGCAAGGCCCTCAAAATGCAGGAGAAATTGTTCACTCAATTTTGCTCTCTCCACACTTCCCCTCATTTTGGTGGTGGACAATTGCAACAGACTTTAGAAAAGGCACTTTTAAGAAACACTCCTACAATACCACTATTCAACAAAACCATAAATAAAGCAGCCACTCTCCTTTATTTGATAACTATCTGGACATCCAAACTGTTTGCAAGAGCACTAATGATGTGAAGCATCTTTAGATAGGGGTCTGTAAGCACATAACACCTCATGGTGTAACAACTCATGTAAGTGCATCTAATCCACTCCTAGAGACCAGGACAAAAATGCCCATGTATGAGATTCATCCTTCACGTCAAATACGCACTAAGCAAAACAGCTGCAGGTACTTTCTCAGGTTAATCAAACAAATCAAATAACAGCATCTTGTAACAACAAAACTATTTTTCCCTCCAAACAACAGGCCTACACTGCAGGTGGTTTTGTCCCATAGCAAGCAAACAGGAGAAAAAACGTGTCCTGAACAGCTGCTCATTAGGTGAGCACCATTCTGCCTGCACTGCAAATGAAGCAAATGTCATGTGGAAAAAAATAGTTTACAGTCATGTAATTAGACACGGTATCACAGGCATACACAAAAAAGGAGGGAAGACAAGTACAAATTACACTTGCACAGGCAATTTATTTCTGGGAGTTTATAATTTTTGATGTTCCTGGACTTTAACCTTATAATTTCTTTTTAAAAGGCTTGTTTCCAGATTATTTTTTCATATTATACAATAACTTATAACTTTAAACAATCACCTGCTATAAAAATATCCACCCTCAAAGAATTATTTATTCTGAATGGAACACTTTACTTAAGGACACTGGGAGAATACTCTATCAGAACAGACCAAAGCAAACATAAACTGAATAGGACCTTGTAGTAAATATTATGAAGCAGCGTGAATTTATTGCAAGTTTACCTGATACTCGTTGGGCCAGAAAGTGCTGACAGCCAACTCCGCTCGAAGCCAGTCTTTGCCAGTGGAGCCTGTGACGTTCCAGATGGGATTAGCCAGTGGCCCTTTGTTCACCCTAACCAGGATGTTCAAAGTGCCTGGGTTTGCTCCATTCTTGCTGTACAGAAGGTAGCTGAAATCGATGCAGTGAGTATCATTTTCCTTCATTGTTGGAAGCTGAAGTCTAGTCTTTTCTCCAGGGTCATGATCTGAGGAAATCACTATCATATACGATCCTAGGAAAGGGGGGGGGTGGGAAAGGGGGAAAAAAAAAACAAAACAAAACACAAAAAAAAAGTAAAGATAAATGCTAAGAAACTGATTCTTCACAGTGAAAAAGGAAGAAATGCATAGGTTTTCATATCTCAGAAATCTCAAAATTTAAGTAGCATGAAATTCAGCAAGCTATAAAATGCTAGAAACATCATTGAAGCAGTAACTAGAGAAGACATCACATATCTCTGAGGACCTACCTCAAAAAAAAGGTAGACTTGAATTTTAAATACATTAGCAATGGAAATAGCTGACTTAGGACAACAAGTCAAATCTGTTTTGAAAACTTTGGTTTACTGCTCCATTTGCCAATGGATTTGAGGGGATAACAGAAGTTTCTACAGCTGGAAGAGAGTCTATCTTGTAAATGTCTATTACAAGTATACATAAGACAAAACAAGCTGTGCCTGCCTAGCTGTAAAGGCAGGAAGTGGAAATCATATGTTTTAACAGATTATACAGGCTATACTGATGAAACAGTCTGTCCTGCTGTTCTGCAGAATGGATGATAAAGACAGGTTCCCATCTAACCTAGTCCAGAGCTGCTTCATTTCTTCAAGAGTGACAACTCCATATCAGGTACTATTTAGTGAATGAACCCCACAGAAAAAAGGTTGATAGATGGAGCATGCCAGGAAAACCTTTGCAACCAAGTGAGAGAACCCAACTCAGCATACAATCTGAATCATTGCTACAGGAAAGTTTCCTAACCTAAATTTACCTACCCATCTGCTTAATGATTTCAGAACCTTCATGTTGACAGATTTTCCTTATACTTTCAGTCCTGAAGGGTATCACAATAAAGAGCCTTTCCTCCTGAAGAAGGTTCAGATTAATCAAAAATACAGTCAAAAATTAACCTAAATTTAAAAAAGTAATAGATTTGTGAACATTTGCCCAAATGAGTAGCCTCACAGAAGTCTTGGAAGTATGCATATACACAACCTTGCTCCCTCCTCAGTCATCTACCTACTCCAAGAAAATTAGAAGCCTATGCCAAAGTAAACTATACAGAAAAATTATACCTTTGAAAAACATACAAAATATGTTCTTACACCTTTTATAAGAAAGTCATTCTTTACTTGTAAAGAAGTACTATAGGATTGAAAGAGTTAGGGTTTTTTTCCTATTTATGTACAATTGTAATATCTTAATATTAATTAATAATTATTTTAGTGTAAAATCTTCATAATATCTTAAGATATTATTGGACTTGGCAGAAACATGAAGTATAAACAAGGGAAATGCTCATAATCTCATTAATTCCCAAGATTAAGTAACTCTGAGATTTGCAATGAGAGTTTTGGGCAAATCTTACAGCTAACTATTCACAGTGGTGCTTCAGGCTGGAGCAGAGGAACAGGGTGAGGAGCAGCAGAGACCAAGTGTGATGGACTGACTGCAGCTCCCAGTCCCCATCCCCTTGTGGTGTAAATTTGGCTAAATTTTCCCTAAAATGAGTCTGTTTTGCCTGTGACAGCAAATGATTTACAAAAGAAGTGATCTCCATGTCTTTGTCTCAACCCATGAGCTTGTCAACCTCATTTACCCTCCTTGTGCTGTTGAGGAACTGAGCAAAACAGGCAGGATGGGGATCTGGCCAAGGTCAACACACCACAGTTGCCATAAAGGTAAAGAGCAGCAGTTAGACACTGTTAGCTAACACTAATACTAGGTGTTTCATTACACCCCAGTAGAGACAGGGTCTGGGATTTTTTTTTTCCATTGTTACTGGCCTAATAGGTCAAGCACAAGCAGATGTAAAACACTATATACACCTACTTCCCTTGCAAACAAGAAAGAAAAAAAGTCAACTAACCTGTATTCTGTTGCCACCAAGATTTTACAAGGAAAAAGTCAATGCAAGTGTGATGCTTAATTAAATCCAAAAATGGTAAAAAATAAAAAATTAAATTAAATTTAAAAAAAAAAAAAAGCCACACAAGAACATATTTGGGGCAATGAAGAAAGAAAAACTTAAATTTCTTTACAGCACCATCCAAAGATGAAATTCATCCTTTCTGTCTTGTAAGAAGAAAAAAATGAACTTCTTTGATGTTAAGATGAAAAGTATTCAAAGTCATAATTTATGCCTGGACAAAGAGCCACTGCTGTTAGATATTCCTTTCACTGCCTATTTTTCAACATGCTTAAGCATG